GGGGTATTAACGTACAGGTAGGGTATATACAGTGGGGTATTAATGTACAGGTAGGGTATATATATAGCCGGGTATTAACGTACAGGTAGGGTATATACAGTGGGGTATTAACGTACAGGTAGGGTATATATAGCTGGGTATTAACGTACAGGTAGGGTATATACAGTGGGGTATTAATGTACAGGTAGGGTATATATAGCTGGGTATTAACGTACAGGTAGGGTATATACAGTGGTGTATTAATGTACAGCTAGAGTATATACAGTGGGGTATTAACGCACAAGTAGGGTATATACAGTGGGGTATTAATGTACAAGTAGGGTATATACAGTGGGATATTAACGTACAGGTAGGGTATATACAGTGGGGTATTAACGTACAGGTAGGGTATACAGGGAGGCTCCACTTCAGCCAGAGCTGCTCTGTAAGCTCTGAAAGATGATGAGCTGTCAATCAAAGAGCTGAACTCCTCCAGAGCCTGAGGACACAGACAGATATCAACTTGTTAATATATTCATTAAAGACTAATTATTATGATGATGTCATATAACCACACAGACCTCAGCTGTGCTTCTCTGCCAGTCCAGGCGTCGCAGGGGGGCGGAGTCCAGCGCTGACAGGATGGAAAGGTACGAGTTAAAGTTGTTCAGCTTCCGCAGATGCTGAAGGAAAAACAACAACAACACACACACACAGGTGAGAGGTTAGCAGTCACATTTGTTTACATGCAAACAAATGTAAGTAATTATTAATATTTCATGACTGAAACATCAGTTAACATGTGACATCTTTCACTGTGACGTCTGCAGCTGTGGAGTCAGATCATCTGAACCTTTATTTGAAACATCATTAAAGCTGCCGTCTGTGCGTATGTTGAGTTTGATTACCGCTGCTCTGATCTCTGATGTGAAATGGCCCCACCTGAGCTCCACTTGAGTGTGTTTACCTTCATGATTTTCAGGAACTTGAGCAACAGTTTCTCTCTGTCCTGAGGTTTGTCCTGAAGAATGACGACAGATCGAACCCTGGAATCACACAGACACACCTGCTGAAGCTTTCAGGTCAGAGTTAGAACTGTATGATAATCAGGGCTGCTGCCACCTGTGAGGGTGTCCTCAGCGCTAAAGCTTTGTTTTCAGCTTCTGAGCAAGCTCCGCTCCTTGAATGTCTTCAGCAGAGACATCTGGACATTATGTCCACATTTAAAGACATCATCATGTCAGTGTTTACCAGAAGGAGACGTTGTTAAAGTGTTGGGTGAACTCTGTCAGGTTTGGACTCTTCTCCTCATTCTGCTCCTTCGACCACAGCAACACCTCTGGAAGCTGCACAGGTGAGAGAGGTGAGACAGACAAGTGAGAGAAAGACAGGTGGAACTGACAGTTGAGACAGAAAAACTGAAACAGGATGAAGGTTTAATTTCTCACCCCGATCTTGCAGAAGAGTTCAGAGTCCAGCAGAGTCAGCTGTTCAGCTAAATCCTGACTCCTGAAGTCCAGAAGAGTTCCTGGTCTGAGAGAGGACAGAGGAGGACATGAACCAGCTGTCAATCATCAGACAGGTCAGGGGTCAGGGGTCAGGGGGTTACCTGGCAGCCACGCCCCTGGCTGCAAGGGGGCGGAGTGACTGAGGTGAGCCAATCAGCTGCCACTTCTGCTCCATCTTGGACAGGATGTTGGAGCGCAGCAGGCGGGCCAGTCCCAGCTCTCCTCCAGTCAGGAGGCTGAACACCAGTTCCATCAACAGCAGCAGCAAATCAGAGTCCAGCTCGATCGCACTGCCCACACACACATCATATATGTGACATATGTGACTGTGACATCGTGTTCATTATTGTGCTGCTCTAACAGATTTAATCTGACAGTTTCTTATTATTATAACAGAGAAGTTGGGTTTCAAAAACAAAGCCTCTGATTGGTTAAAGTCTGTGTCTCACCACAGCTCGTCGACCACTCGAACCAGCAGGTGAAAGGTGTTCTTGGCAGCGGTCAGGTGTGCAGGCTCATGTCTGTCACACAGATGTCTGTACGTGTTGATGGTTAAAGAGTCACAACAAACTCATCCATTAAGATATCTCTCTGAATACATGAAACACCTGATCTTTACAACAGGTGAGGTCAAAGAGCGTCTGACACATTAAGTATCAGATCGTTTGCATATAAACACACCTTTATATTTGTAACATTCTGTCAGCCTCTTTCTCTGTTTCTGTCTCTAAATATACAGAGATTCTTTTTATTTCTCATGCAGACTGCCATCTGACAGATATTTCTTATTTATTACATGAATATAAAGTAATCAGGTTCATCCCATGGAACACAACATGACCAATTATTATCAATATACAATATACAGCTTCAGTCTCAGAAAGGATATCTGTACTGTAGTTTGCTGATGACATTATTTGGGCTGATGAAACTTCTGTAGGTGGAGAGGAAGGCTTCACGGTACAGGACGTGCTCTACATAAACACACACACACACACACACACACGTTTTACTGTAGTCATGTATATTCATATGTATGTAGTAAGGGCTATTGCTCTGACACAACGAGTGAGGCTGAACTTCCCCTAAAATTTCATAGAAGAAATGGTCAAATATGCACTATTGAATTTACATTAAAATAAGAATGTAAATTGCATTAAACGTGCGCTAGGATGCATTTAACATCATGACTATGATGTTCAAACGTCAGCTGTTTGTCACCAGTTTTCAAACGCGACCTCCCTGTCATACATTCTCATGTCAGCACGGTGGACACGGAGCCTCCAAGCATTCCTATGAGACAGCGCTGAGCAGGTTTTTTTCATGCAGCAAAGCGAGATGGTCATTGGATAAATGTGACAAGATCGTCACTTCCAGGGAGGCTCAGCTTCCCTGGGACCTGATGAAGCGGTAGGCGGGAGAGGACGCTCAGTGTCTGCATGATGATTGGAGGAACTGTCTAAGAGGCTGAACCCCTTTGTGACTGACAGTGCTTTGGAAATACACACCAGCATCGGTGAGTGGAGTCTTCTGACAGAGTGCCGTCCAGAGTTCCTTATTTCCATAAGCCATACAGCTCATTTACACCATTTGTACAGTAAAAACATAACACACACTGTAAATAAAGACATAAATGTTGCGTTATTGAGTTTGCACCCTGTTTAGTGTCGTTAGTTAGTTCATTTGTTCGTTGAATCACAAAGCTGTAGTTGTGTGTGTGCAGCTGGTTTGACAGGGTCGCAGACTCAAACTTATTTTGAGAGAAAATCAGTTCTGGTGATGTAGACACAGTTCAGGTGTTTAAACCCATCTGAAAATCCTTGAGGTGTGTGTTGCTGTGGTTCTATGGCATGAGTGTGGTTGAAAAACGGCTTCAATTAAATGTTCCTTTCATAAGTTACTGCCTCGCTACAACATGACACACGTTATGATGTAAACTTAAAGTGAGCTTCCCCTGTTTGAAAGACCAGCAGCCGCCACTGGTATGTAGAGACCAGCTGGGTTTTGGTTATTTGAGTGCAGCAGTTATTCAAGATGTAAGATAATTATGAAGGTTGAAGCTTGTTTTTTCTGGAAGGGTCTGTTAGGGGACACCAGACTGTTAGCTCATTGTTCCCACGAAAGTCCAATTATGGAAAATTTGTTGACTACACTGATTTAAGCTCCTGAATGTAAGAAAATTAACCATGTTATACCCACAAATTAGTATCTTCTGCCTGCAAGGTAGTATCTTGTGCCCCAAAGGTAATATCTTGTGCCCCAAAGGTAGTATCTTGTGCCCCAAAGGTAATATCTTGTGCCCCAAAGGTAGTATCTTGTGCTCCAAAGGTAATATCTTGTGCCCCAAAGGTAGTATCTTGTGCTCCAAAGGTAGTATCTTGTGCTCCAAAGGTAATATCTTGTGCCCCAAAGGTAGTATCTTGTGCTCCAAAGGTAATATCTTGTGCCCCAAAGGTAGTATCTTGTGCTCCAAAGGTAGTATCTTGTGCTCCAAAGGTAATATCTTGTGCCCCAAAGGTAGTATCTTGTGCTCCAAAGGTAATATCTTGTGCCCCAAAGGTAGTATCTTGTGCTCCAAAGGTAGTATCTTGTGCTCCAAAGGTAATATCTTGTGCCCCAAAGGTAGTATCTTGTGCTCCAAAGGTAATATCTTGTGCCCCAAAGGTAGTATCTTGTGCTCCAAAGGTAGTATCTTGTGCTCCAAAGGTAATATCTTGTGCCCCAAAGGTAGTATCTTGTGCTCCAAAGGTAATATCTTGTGCCCCAAAGGTAGTATCTTGTGCTCCAAAGGTAGTATCTTGTGCTCCAAAGGTAATATCTTGTGCCCCAAAGGTAGTATCTTGTGCTCCAAAGGTAATATCTTGTGCCCCAAAGGTAGTATCTTGTGCTCCAAAGGTAGTATCTTGTGCTCCAAAGGTAATATCTTGTGCCCCAAAGGTAGTATCTTGTGCTCCAAAGGTAATATCTTGTGCCCCAAAGGTAGTATCTTGTGCTCCAAAGGTAGTATCTTGTGCTCCAAAGGTAATATCTTGTGCCCCAAAGGTAGTATCTTGTGCTCCAAAGGTAGTATCTTGTGCCCCAAAGGTAGTATCTTGTGCCCCAAAGGTAGTATCTTGTGCTCCAAAGGTAATATCTTGTGCCCCAAAGGTAGTATCTTGTGCTCCAAAGGTAGTATCTTGTGCTCCAAAGGTAATATCTTGTGCCCCAAAGGTAGTATCTTGTGCTCCAAAGGTAGTATCTTGTGCCCCAAAGGTAGTATCTTGTGCCCCAAAGGTAGTATCTTGTGCTCCAAAGGTAATATCTTGTGCCCCAAAGGTAGTATCTTGTGCTCCAAAGGTAGTATCTTGTGCCCCAAAGGTAGTATCTTGTGCCCCAAAGGTAGTATCTTGTGCTCCAAAGGTAATATCTTGTGCCCCAAAGGTAGTATCTTGTGCTCCAAAGGTAGTATCTTGTGCCCCAAAGGTAGTATCTTGTGCTCCAAAGGTAGTATCTTGTGCCCCAAAGGTAGTATCTTGTGCCCCAAAGGTAGTATCTTGTGCTCCAAAGGTAATATCTTGTGCCCCAAAGGTAGTATCTTGTGCTCCAAAGGTAGTATCTTGTGCCCCAAAGGTAGTATCTTGTGCCCCAAAGGTAGTATCTTGTGCTCCAAAGGTAATATCTTGTGCCCCAAAGGTAGTATCTTGTGCTCCAAAGGTAGTATCTTGTGCCCCAAAGGTAGTATCTTGCGCCCCAAAGGTAGTATCTTGTGCCCCAAAGGTAGTATCTTGCGCCCCAAAGGTAGTATCTTGTGCCCCAAAGGTAGTATCTTGCGCCCCAAAGGTAGTATCTTGTGCCCCAAAGGTAGTATCTTGCGCCCCAAAGGTAGTATCTTGCGCCCCAAAGGTAGTATCTTGCGCCCCAAAGGTAGTATCTTGTGCCCCAAAGGTAGTATCTTGTGCTCCAAAGGTAGTATCCTGCACCCCAAAGGTAATATTTTGTGCTCCAAAGGTAGTATCTTGTGCCCCAAAGGTAGTATCTTGCACCCCAAAGGTAGTATCTTGTGCCCCAAAGGTAGTATCTTGTGCTCCAAAGGTAGTATCTCACACTTTAAAGGTAGTATCTTGTGCTGGCATGTAGAATTTTATGCCCACAGTGTAATATCTTGCCCCAAAGGTAGTATCTTGCGCCCCAAAGGTAGTATCTTGCACCCCAAAGGTAGTATCTTGCGCCCCAAAGGTAGTATCTTGCACCCCAAAGGTAGTATCTTGTGCTCCAAAGGTAGTATCTCACACTTTAAAGGTAGTATCTTGTGCTCCAAAGGTAGTATCTCACACTTTAAAGGTCTTGTGCTGGCATGTAGAATTTTATGCCCACAGTGTAATATCTTGGGTAGTATCTCACACTTTAAAGGTAGTATCTTGTGGCTTCAAGGTTTCTCTTGTGCCCACAAGATAGTATGTAGCAGCCACAAGTTAATATTTTACCCATACAGGTTTATATGTTGTGAGTCCATGATATCAGCTATCAGTCTTTGAATCTTGTTTCCGATGGGAATCTGTGTGTCAAAGGAAATGTTTTAGAAGTAAGCATTGAGACAAGAAGTTACCAGTGCTGTTGTCGGTCTCTGTGGCGTAGACTAAAAGGATCTCAGGAGAGGCTGCCTTCACGTCTGGCCCATCCTCCTCCTGAAACAGACAAAGGACAGTCAGGAGATAGACAAAGCACAGTTAGGAGACAGACAAAGGACAGTCAGGGGACAGACAAAGGACAGTCAGGGGACAGGTGGCTAAATGAACTGTAGCAGAGAGGTCAGAGGTCAGGACTGTACCTGAGTTTTCAATGTGATTCTGCGGAGGACCTTCTGCTGGTCGATCAGTAACACCTCCTCCTGCTCCTCCAGCTCCTTACTGCTCCTCCTGCCATGCTCTGCCTCCTGCTGGACACTGTAGAACAGAACACCGTCACTGACTTTGTTTGTACAGGTGAGTGTTGACATGTCTGTCTTTGTGTGTTTGTCACCTGTCTCTGGTCTGGTTCTCTTCGTACTGTCCAGCTGAGTCCTGATGACGACAAAAGAGCTCAATATCAGCGCAGCGATTTTATAATTAATAATAGAAATTCAGTTTAAGCTTTATTTTAGAAATTATCCATACGATCCAGATTCTGAATATTATTCTACATGTATTTTATTCTTTGTGCCTGTGGGAGAGACATCAAAGACAAACTGACGTCTCTGCATCTCTCAGGTCTCACCTGTTGTCTCTTCTTCGGTGGTAGAACTGGAGCAGGAAGCAGCTCAGGTGAGGGGGTGGAGTCTAACGTCTGTGTGTCTAGGTGTGTGTGTGAGAGCTGGTAGGTGGTCTCCACCTCTCGCTGCCTACTGTTGTATCGCTCACTGAGGGTCAAAGGTCGTGGATAGAACATGGCGGCTGCCTGAGCACTGTAGGAAGAACAGACCTGCAGGTACTGATGGACTGAGGACAGACAGGTGGACAGACAGACAGGTGGACAAACAGACAGGTGGAGAGAGGGACAGAAACATTTAGAAGTAGCAGAAACAGTATGAGCTGAGGTTTGTTCTAGATAGGGTTAGCCTAATTTAGCACGAAGACTAGAAGCGGAGGGAAACTGTTAGCCTAGCTCAGCACAAAGACTGAGAGCAGAGGGAAACTGTTAGCCTAGCTCAGCACAAAGACTGAGAGCAGAGGGAAACTGTTAGCCTAGCTTAGCACAGACTGTGAGCAGAGGGAAACTGTTAGCCTAGCTTAGTGCAAAGACTGGGAGCAGAGGGAAACTGTTAGCCTAGCTTAGCACAGACTGTGAGCAGAGGGAAACTGTTAGCCTAGTTTAGCACAAACTGTTAGCCTAGCTCAGCACAAAGACTGAGAGCAGAGGGAAACTGTTAGCCTACCTTAGCGCAAAGACTGGGAGCAGAGGGAAACTGTTAGCCTAGCTTAGCGCAGACTGTGAGCAGAGGGAAACTGTTAGCCTAGCTTAGCACAAACTGTTAGCCTAGCTCAGCACAAAGACTGAGAGCAGAGGAAAACTGTTAGCCTAGCTCAGCACAAAGACTGAGAGCAGAGAGAAACTGTTAGCCTAGCTCAGCACAAAGACTGTGAGCAGGGGGAAACTGTTAGCCTAGCTTAGTGCAAAGACTGAGAGCAGAGGGAAACTGTTAGCCTAGCTTAGTACAAAGACTGGAGGCAGAGGGAAACTGTTAGCCTAGCTTAACACGAAGACTGGGAGCAGGGGGAAACTGTTAGCCTAGCTCAGCACAAAGACTGGGAGCAGAGGGAAACTGTTAGCCTGGCTTAGCACAAAGACTGGGGTAGAGGGAAGCTGTTAGCCTAGTTTAGCACAAAGACTGGGAGCAGAGGGAAACTGTTAGCCTAGCTCAGCACAAAGACTGGGAGCAGGGGGAAACTGTTAGCCTGGCTTAGAACAAAGACTGGGGTAGAGGGAAGCTGTTAGCCTAGCTTAGCACAAAGACTGGGAGCAGAGGGAAACTGTTAGCCTAGCTCAGCACAAAGACTGGGAGCAGGGGGAAACTGTTAGCCTAGCTCAGCACAAAGACTGGGAGCAGGGGAAAACTGTTAGCCTAGCTCAGCACAAAGACTGGGAGCAGAGGGAAACTGTTAGCCTAGCTCAGCACAAAGACTGGGAGCAGGGGGAAACTGTTAGCCTAGCTCAGCACAAAGACTGGGAGCAGAGGGAAACTGTTAGCCTAGCTCAGCACAAAGACTGGGAGCAGGGGGAAACTGTTAGCCTAGCTCAGCACAAAGACTGGGAGCAGAGGGAAACTGTTAGCCTAGCTCAGCACAAAGACTGGGAGCAGGGGGAAACTGTTAGCCTAGCTCAGCACAAAGACTGGGAGCAGAGGGAAACTGTTAGCCTAGCTCAGCACAAAGACTGGGAGCAGGGGGAAACTGTTAGCCTAGCTCAGCACAAAGACTGGGAGCAGAGGGAAACTGTTAGCCTAGCTCAGCACAAAGACTGGGAGCAGGGGGAAACTGTTAGCCTAGCTCAGCACAAAGACTGGGAGCAGAGGGAAACTGTTAGCCTAGCTCAGCACAAAGACTGGGAGCAGGGGGAAACTGTTAGCCTAGCTCAGCACAAAGACTGGGAGCAGAGGGAAACTGTTAGCCTAGCTCAGCACAAAGACTGGGAGCAGAGGGAAACTGTTAGCCTAGCTCAGCACAAAGACTGGGAGCAGGGGGAAACTGTTAGCCTAGCTCAGCACAAAGACTGGGAGCAGAGGGAAACTGTTAGCCTAGCTCAGCACAAAGACTGGGAGCAGGGGGAAACTGTTAGCCTAGCTCAGCACAAAGACTGGGAGCAGAGGGAAACTGTTAGCCTAGCTCAGCACAAAGACTGGGAGCAGGGGGAAACTGTTAGCCTAGCTCAGCACAAAGACTGGGAGCAGAGGGAAACTGTTAGCCTAGCTCAGCACAAAGACTGGGAGCAGGGGGAAACTGTTAGCCTAGCTCAGCACAAAGACTGGGAGCAGAGGGAAACTGTTAGCCTAGCTCAGCACAAAGACTGGGAGCAGAGGGAAACTGTTAGCCTAGCTCAGCACAAAGACTGGGAGCAGAGGGAAACTGTTAGCCTAGCTCAGCACAAAGACTGGGAGCAGGGGGAAACTGTTAGCCTAGCTCAGCACAAAGACTGGGAGCAGAGGGAAACTGTTAGCCTAGCTCAGCACAAAGACTGGGAGCAGGGGGAAACTGTTAGCCTAGCTCAGCACAAAGACTGGGAGCAGAGGGAAACTGTTAGCCTAGCTCAGCACAAAGACTGGGAGCAGGGGGAAACTGTTAGCCTAGCTCAGCACAAAGACTGGGAGCAGAGGTAAACTGTTAGCCTAGCTCAGCACAAAGACTGGGAGCAGGGGGAAACTGTTAGCCTAGCTCAGCACAAAGACTGGGAGCAGAGGTAAACTGTTAGCCTAGCTCAGCACAAAGACTGGGAGCAGGGGGAAACTGTTAGCCTAGCTCAGCACAAAGACTGGGAGCAGAGGTAAACTGTTAGCCTAGCTCAGCACAAAGACTGGGAGCAGGGGGAAACTGTTAGCCTAGCTCAGCACAAAGACTGGGAGCAGAGGGAAACTGTTAGCCTTGCTTGATTATTGATGATAATTGATGAGTCATTGATCAGCCTGTATCACCATGCTCTGTTTTCACTCACTGTGTCGTTTCTTCTCAGGGAGGGGAGGTGGGGTCTTGCTGGGGGACAAAGGGGAAGACAGTGACTCGTCAGGACCAATGACATCATCACAGTGGGCGGGGCTCTCTTTATGGGCAGCAGGATCGAACCCAAATGAAGTCTGGGCCTGAGAGTTGGTTCCTGTGGATCAGAACAGAAGAGAGGAGTCAGACAGACAGACAGACAGACAGACAAACAGACAAACAGACGGACAGACGGACGGACGGACGGACAGACAGGCAGCTCAAGTGTGTTCTCACCTGCAGCACGAGTCTTCTCCGGCAGGGCAGGGGGGGGGGGGGGGGGCTGAAGAAGAGGAGGAAGAGTCTCAGAGGAGGACAGGTCAGTGTGGAGGAAGTCGTAGTCCGGATCGTCCTCTGAGAGACAGACAGATGGACAGACAGTTACATAACTCTTTATAATAAAACATGACATTAAAGCGTAAATACGAGACGCATTCATGCGTGTTATTCCTCTGAGACAGACATGACCATCTGTCCCCCAAATCTAAAACCTGAGAGCTGAAACTCTGCTGTGTGATGTCACAGGGTGTGATGTCACAAGGTGGAGCATCTCCACAGACACTGACTGGAGACAGGTGTTGGACATCAGTGGTCCCCACCTGATCCACATCTGTCTTCAGTTTAATATATTCAGTGTCACTTCCTCTACAGCAGGAAACAGCCCTTCAGAATAAAAGCTCTGTGCTGGAAATTCAATGTACTTCAAAATAAAGTGTGTCATCATCATCACCATCATGGGAGTTTCTTCAGTCCTGAATGTGTGTGTGTGTGTGTGTGTGTGTGTGTGTGTGTATGTGTGTGTCCAGCAGGAGGCAGCAGTGAGCCTTGCTGCAAACAGGAAGAGACAGCCAACATTACTTCCTGTTTCTGTCAACTGACAGGAAGTGATGTCCCTCACACTCTGCTGCTGACTGGAAATGTGTGTGTGTGTGTGTGTGTGTGTGTGTGTGTGTGTTACCACAGTGTGTGTCCTCAGCAGCCGACGAAGACGAAAAACGCTTCAAACACTCGTCCTCCTGTAACACACACACACACACACAGTACAGGCGTGTAGTATCTGTACTTTACCTTTTTTTCATTTGATCTATGTCAGTGATGCTCTCAGGCTCCGCCCACAACGCATGACATCAAACTACAGGTAGAAAAAACATCTACACAATATAACCACCTGTCACTGTGTAGTAAATGTGCTGACTGATGAGTCCCTGTTACCGTGACAATCTGTGTGTCATTATGGGATATGAACTGTGCTTTACCTGTGTGTCCACTTCAGGCTCTCGTCTCATCGGTGCTACGACGGCGACCCTGCAGTGGGCGGGGCCTGATGACGACTGACGTTTTTTGGGTGGCAGGGCTGGTGGACTGAGGAGGGGACAGACAGACAGACAGACAGACAGATGAGAGTCAAAGGTCATTCTAATGATCCGTAATAACGACCCATATCTGTGTGTCCATGGCTTTGTCCGAAATCATTCACTAGTCCCTACTCACTATATCGGGAATTGCCTATATAGTGAGCTCATTAAAACACTTTCGGACACTACTCCGTCGCATAGTTAAGTACGTCATTACTGTCATTACTGTCGCACAATTAAAACGAGCCAGAGCGATGTTGTCTGGTGGGTTTTCGAAATAAATAAATTAATTTGTGTGATAAATACATAATACTGAGCGTATTTTCCCACATGAATAAATACACTTTCAGTTCTTTTAAATCAAGACTGAACACCTTTTCTCCTTGCCGTTGCCTTTTATTAAATCATATTAGAGGCTTTTGATTAATTCCTTGCACTGCACTGTAAGCTTTATTCTATTTAACTTTTTAATTGTACTTGTATCTCAGTTTAGAATAACGTTTTTTCTTTGTAAATCCACCTCCAACTGCCGTTTTATCACCTTCATAAATGTCTCATAAAAAACGGTCCTTTTACAAACAAGAAAATGTTGCAGAAATGCCAGCAAATGGCACTGTAGTTTTTTTCCTTCTTGCAATTATCAAAATAATTTTGATAAGAAGAAAACACATTACCAGAGAGAGAAGGCTGAGACGTGCTGCTCTTGCTAGACTAGCAAGACGTCGTAGAATTGTAAGTGAAAGATTATGCTAGGCCTGTACATTTATATTTAAGATAGATACACAAACCATCATTTCTGAATTGTCAATGTAAACTTTCAGTGTCAGACCAGTGGTCAAATGACGCCCCCTCCTGGGGAAAGTTAAACTTGACAATTTTGTTTTTCACATCCCATACAGCAGTAGTGTCTGCCGTCTGCTACTGGTGCCACTGCAATGCATCATGGTACATATTGTGTGGTTAGTGACCATCGGTTGTACTTTTCGTGCTGCACTGTGGGATACTATGAGTCCACTATATAGGGTATATTAATCTACACTAAACATTCAGACAGCGCTACAAAATGGCGAACACACTATTTAGTGAGCAGGGAGTGATTTTGGACACAGCTATTGTTTAGCGGCGCCCTCTGGTGTTTTTGGTTATAATCACAGGAACAAAGGAGGAAGTCATGTGATGTGGTGTAAACAGTGAGTCTGTGCAGGGTGGGGTCAGGGTGGGGTCAGGGCGGGTCAGGGTGGGTGTGGGTGTGGGGTCAGGGTGGGGTCAGGGCGGGTCAGGGTGGGGTCAGGGTGGGGTCAGGGTGGGGTCAGGGCGGGTCAGGGTGGGGTCAGGGTGGGGTCAGGGCGGGTCAGGGTGGGGTCAGGGTGGGGTCAGGGCGGGTCAGGGTGGGGTCAGGGTGGGTGTGGGTGTGGGGTGGGAGAATGGACTCTTACCCAGGAGACAACTGTTTGTGTCCCGCATTAAATCAAAAGTCAGCATCGAGCCATTTAAACAATGTGATCATGTAGTCACGTTACCGTGGTTACAAAGGTGTTTGTTTAATCCAAACTATGATCTTTGTTTTAAACCTACTCACGCTGTTTTGGTACGACTGTGACTGTTAAATCAGGTTCAGACTGAACGACAACGAGTGTCATACACAATAATCCATGGTTTCATCTGGTGTAGTGTGTCATCGTAGACGACAACTGACGCCACGTCTGGGACGCCTCACGACATCCCGACAGGAAGTCTAGCATGTTTGATTTCCTTTGATTTCCATGACTTCTCCCGTCACAGCCGTCACTTTGACCAATAGGAACACAGAGCAATCTGTTGCCGTGGAAACTGTAGGACAACAACAGCCCAGCCTTTCAGATATTTCCTGTAGGGACGTTAGCACACAGAGTAAAGAGGAAACAGCAGAGGCACTTTATCAACCCGCTGAGTACTGCCATTAGCATCAAGCTAGCAAAGAATGTTCTTTCTTCATAATGGAGGATAAAAAGGAATCAAACTCACAGATAGTGTCTGAGCCTTTACTCAGCACAGCTGCAGAGGCTACCAGCTGCATCTCAAACACACTACACCATTTATCACTCTCACACTCAACACTTCCTGACCATCAGCTGATGTGACACACAGACTGTAGGAACAGACGAACACGTGGTGCAGTCTGATCTGTTAATGGTCATATCTGAGCTGTGATGTCATCCAGCTGCAGGCCGCTGGTTTAGGAGACGCTGCTCTGTCGTACTTATTTATTACACAGTATTTGTACACGGTGGCGTTCGCACTTTTACTGAAGTCAAACTGGACATAAAGACGTGAACAACAGTTTGTGATGACACAACGTGATGCTAACAGTGTTCACTTCCTGTGAGGTGTGAACACAGAGACGGAGAGCAGCTCATAGCCACCATCTTTGTCTGTCTTCTTCTTCATCACAGCTTTTAACAGCAGGATGTTTCATAAACAAACAGCAGGAAGTGATGTCACAGTTTAAATGTTGTCAAACTGCTGGTTTCCAAGAAAAGGAACAGAGACGCTGAACTGTTTCTCTCACTTCTTCTTCTTCTTCTTCTTCTTCTTCTTCTTCCTGCTGTCGCTCAGTGGGCGCAGAGACACAGGAAGTGCAGAGACAGGAGGGGGGAGGACGGTGTCTCATTTCTGTACTCTTTCTACTTCCTGTTTCATTCACAGCTCTATTTCTGCTCCTCACACTCAGACTGTGGCTCCTCGCAGCTGCAAACATGTCGACCGCTCAGGCTCCGTCTGATCAGCTGACGCTCTGAGAACAAGACCACAGTCATGTGTGTGTCCCACAGTCCTGTCCGACAGTCATGTGTGTGTCCCACAGTCTTGTCCCACAGTCATGTGTGTGTCCCACAGTCTTGTCCCACAGTCATGTGTGTGTCCCACAGTCCTGTCCCACAGTCATGTGTGTGTCCCACAGTCATGTGTGTGTCCCACAGTCTTGTGTGTGTCCCACAGTCCTGTCTCACAGTCCTGTGTGTGTCTCACAGTCCTGTCTCACAGTCCTGTCTCACAGTCCTGTCCACAGTTCACTGACACATGTTCAGCTGCTGATGAATGACTCAGCGTAAAGAGACAAAGATGCGTCTGAGCAGCAGTTTGGAACAAGAAGAGAAGAAACCATTCGTCAGACCGACGCTGCAGATTTAAACTCAAACTGGTTCCACTAACATAAAAACCTAAAGTCCAGTTCAGACCAAAGATCCACGACCAGATGAGTCGACACACACTCCAACTGTCAACACTGCTCTGTAAAAAGCTGTCAGTTCACACCAACGTTGGCGCCACACGTCTCTGCTCAGCACGTCACATCTCCACATCATCATGATCATCATCATCATCACCACATCATCATGATGATCATCATCATCA